GGGGGGCGCTCGGCTCGCAGCTGCCTGGGATGCTGTGACCTGGGGCGACGGGGGCTGGAGACGTTGCACCGAATTTCTTTTTTTTTCGAAGTCTGAAATCGCTGTATAATTACAGGAAGTCGCTTTATATATATATATATATGCGTGTGTGTGTGTATGCATACCCACACATGTGTATAGATATAGATACATGCACACATAACTGCCCAGCGTTTTCCTAGACGTGGGCTGCATGCGGGTGGACAGGGGAACGCGAGAGGGTCCGGGTCAGCTAGCACGGTGCCTGGCACCTTGTCCTAAATTCCCATTCACGAATGCCCTGAGTTCTGTTGCGTAGCCGGGTCGCTCCTTTGCTTCTGCCCTTCCTAGGGGAAGGCTCTTCGGGACCCCACTGATCTACTGGTGTTCAGCCTGCGTGTGACTGTACTCCAAGTAGTTTCTTCTTGAGCCAGAATTGTTTCTTTGCCTTTTCGTGTTGTTGTTTTGCTTTAGTTTAAGCTCACCTACTCTCCTTCTCACCCCCAGGTTTATTCCTGATGTGTTTATGGATAATAATTGTATCTTTTTCAGCCTTTGTTTTGCTAAGTTGTTTTGCTCTTCCGTATTATTTCCTTCTGTTCTGCTGATTATCCTAATGGCGGATCTGTTCCCATCTTATTTCTGTCCCTCTTGAACCTGGGCAGCCAGACTCACAGCCGAGTGCAGGGTGTTTAACTTCCCCGGCCGGGGTTGTGGGTTAATGTGGGTGCTCTCTGGCACCTTGGCTTAATGAAAACTCATAGCCCTCAAACAGCAGAGTGGGTGGGTAAGGGACTGAGGAAAAACATGTTTAGAACAGTAGGGCAGACACCCTTCTTGGAGCTATCCAACCTGGTATTGCATAACACAGCCTGCCTCATTGTAACTGTAACCTGTTTTTTTTTTTTTTTTTTTACCCTGTCTATGAAGAGGTCTGGTACAGACCTTGATTTTGACTTGGCTTTTGTTTTTTTGGTCCAAGTTCCTTTGATTATCCATTTGTCTTTTCCTTTTATTGTCACACTTCATGTCTACATTTGCATAAAGTTCAAGTACTCTTTCTGTTATTATTATGTTTACATAACACCTGAAATAAGTTCAGAAGAATCCACCGGGAACTGGATTTCGCTGTTAGTTTCTTCTGACTGTCTTGACAAAGCTTTGTGGCCAGTGGCAGACACTTTTGCTGTTATACTGGCATTACATCTTTATTTTCATCTTCATTTCTTTCTAACTGTAATTAAGAGTCAGACAAAGATTATATAACTTACTCTTAAGGAAGTTGGTCACAATGACTGAAGAGATAAATGCCATTATTTGTGTGCCTAGGGGCAAGGATAGTGAGTTTCTTAGGACCAGAATTTGCTGCTTCTTGAATGAGGATAAACAGAGTAGTGTATACTCTTTTAATCTTAGAATATTGTTCCCCACAGTTACAGGTATACCTGTTTAGGTTAGGTTTAGGGAAAAGGTACCTGTGGTGCCTTTAAAATGTTGTTGCCCATGTGTCCATGGGGTGAGTGGCATGGCCTCTCTCCAGCCCTGCCTCTTTCGTCAGGCCTGAGGGCAAGGAGCCATCCTGCCCTGCCGCTTGCCCTCTGGTTGGACTGGGTCTCCTGTGGCTGCCAGTGCGTGCTGCTCCTTTTGTCTCTTCCGTACAGAAGGGGGCCAGAGGAGATGCTCTTTGCAACCTCGCTGTGGTCCTGAAAGAATGTTTCTGGAAGAAATGGTCATGGTAGAATTGACCGTGAGGTTTGGTCTTTCATTCTTTCTCAGCCAGTGTAGAATCACTCCTTAGTGATGTTACTTAGTGATGTTTTATTGATCCCTGATTCTGGGTTTTAAAACAGGAGTTTTAGAGCTCCTTCTGTTGTTCGAGAACAACCCAGAATGAAGGAGATTCAGAAGGAGCTTTAAAACTGTTTTAGGAAGTTGGTGGAAGTGTCACCCTGTCAAAGAGTCCCTGCTTACTATACTGCCAGCACAGTGCAGTGCTTTGCACAGTTCATCGACCTCCTCTTCAACTCCGTGGTGATGCTGGCCCTCTACTTCAGCAACTTCTGGTTGTCTGTAGTGCCTGGATATCTTTGAAGCTCCAGGTAGTTATATACAAGCTAGAGCAGTCTTTGGGTTGCTCTAACTCATGCTGAACAATTACCATTTGAGCCTGTTCAAACTGTTGACAGCTTGGGACTTCCTGTAGTATAGTATTCAGAAATTTAAAATATCTTTGAATGTTGTCAGATTGATGCAGCTTGTATTACGCCTAAAGCATTTATCATACCCATGAACAGAATAGCAAAATGTGCTATGACTTTGGGGGAGAGAAAACAGATGACTCCGTGCTTTAGAGATGTAAGAGTGATACTGATCCATAAAAGATGCTGCAGCTGAACCTCTCTCTATCTTTCTGTCTCTCTCTCTCTCTCCACAAACATTTAGTGTCTCGAGTGGCAATATCAGTCTTTTTTTGTACATCTCCTTACTTAGTTATGGGGATAGTCATCATTATAAATCTACAATGTAATGCTTTTTATTACTTCATTTTTTTCTATTAATGTTGTTCCAGATTTGTGGGTGCTACTTTTCTACCAGCTGTCAACGCAACACCAAGTTTTATACTGATCCTGTGGAAGCTGTAAAAGATATACCCAATGGGGCAACTATACTTGTTGGTGGTAAATATTCGATTTGTTATGGATGAAATCTTGTATGTTGGTTCTTTTTAAATTAACTAATTCAAGAATCCATATTCTTGTATGGGTATTTTAAACAAGTGATTTCTTACTGCTACTCATGGGACAAACTTTTTCAGTGAGGAAGTTCCTATTTGCTTGCTAGCGGAGGAAAAATCAGCAGAAGAAGAATTATTTTTTCCCACTAATGAAATACTAGATTTTACTTGTGCCAATTTTAATGCAAAATATTAACTTGGACTTTTCAGGTTAGTGTTATTTTTTCAAATGGTATGAAATTCTGGTTTGATCATGTTTGTAGTAGCATTCTCTATATTTTGTAGCTCCTTGTCACCGGCTCTTTTGATGCTGAGCAAATCGCCTAACCTGTTTCTGACTGGGAAGTGAAGATAATATCTATCTACATTACACTAAATGGATGCGCGTAATATTTTCAGAAGAGTCAAGAAATTGCGTCATGTTGGTTTTCAATGTGTATTGAGCTCTTGAGTCTTCTAGTTGATTTTCAGAATTTCACCCAATTCAATCCACTTAAAGAAAAAAAAAATCTCTCTATGTAATTGGTTCCAACTGATTTTTAGTATTGAAGAAGAATAAAGAACATAATGTTGTAAAATGTGGGAAGCATCATTGGAGATCTGTAATGAGGCAAAATGCCCAATGGGAAGAATTACTGCCTTTTTTTTTTTTTTTTTTTTGCTTGATGGGAACAAAGGAAGATCTGAGGCTAAGTGATTGGAAACAAAGTGTTAAGGGTCTTGGTGCTAAAGCCCAGTCTAAGCCTTTAGATGCCTCAGATTTGGCGTTGTACTTTGTTAGGCAAACAGGGTTCTTGCATCACAGGTAGGAGCTCCAGGCACCTCAGCCTGGGTGGAGGTCTGGGTTGTTATGCTTCCAGTGTCACAGATCTTCCCCAGGTTAAGGTTCTCAGATTTTTATCATCTAATGATAGGCTATACTGCGTGGGAGAACTCTTCACTCCTGTTTGACATTATATGCAGCAAAGAGCTGAAGATCAGATAGGCAGAAAGAGAGGGTGAAATAATGAGTAAAATGGCATAATGTAGTGGTTAGGACGCACACTTGGAGAGCTGATGTTCTCTAGCCCTGCTCCAAAGGTCATTTAGGTATGAGCAGACCTCTAAGAGTTAAATTGCTTTCATCCAAGCTGGGAAGCATCTGGTGACTCTAGGAGATTCCAGCACTAAGGGTGCAACTGGATAAAGCTCTTTGGTCGCACTTCTGAATTTAAGCACTTCAGATTTGGAAGTTAATTGTAGTCCACTATTCTTACTCCAAACAAGTTTATTTCCAGAAGTATTGGGCTCTTTAGTCATCCAAGAAGCTTGTTCTTGTCTATTCAGAAAAGATTTTCAATCAATCAGTGCATGTTGCCAGACTTTTGATTGAACTGTGTTCTTTCAAATACTTGTTACATATTCAATTTTCTTTATTTTGCATAGGTTTTGGATTGTGTGGGATCCCTGAGAACCTTATAGGGGGTTTACTGAAGACTGGAGTAAAGGAAATAACTGCAGTCAGTAACAACGCAGGGTAAGAATTCATATATGTCCCTAGTTTAAAAAGTACAGAGTAAATAGTCTGCTTACATGGGTAGGTTGATATGTGTGAAAAAGTCCTACTTTCTCTTGCATAACTTTCCATATTAACTCACTTAGCTGTGTTATTTTTGGAATGACTTTATAAAGTACGGTATAGTATATCCAGTTTTGTCAGGGAGTAGTTGTCATTGCTGTAGAACATAGCAAGTGTATGTATATATAACTGGTGGACTGTAAATGAAAGATCTTACTTAGCTGCTTTAAATGTGGTATCAATGATTTTGAATGTGTGTGAAGATCCAAATAGGGATTTTTTTATAACTGCGATTTGATGCTTTTTGACAAGTTTTTACTGTAGTTTGGTTATTATAAGCATTCTCAATTTTTTAACAAAAGAATGCGGGGCCTTCTTAGTAGGTCTTGTGGTTTTTTTTTTAAACATTTGCTCATTAAAGCCATTCATTGTAAAAGACTGTGTAACAACTAATAAACTTCATATAGAGAAATAATTACAGCCACTTCTGTTAAAGTGCATTGATAGGATAGAAATGAAACTAAAGTAAAAATATTGATATGCAGAATATGACGACTCATGTTTGAAATTGGTGTGGTCAGAAAGGCTGATATTCAATTCTCCTTGCAGTGTGTCATTGGATGACTAGCATCTGCAGGTACCCTAATTTAGTTACTTTGACTTATCGTATTAAATGTCACCTTCAGCAACATAATAATCCCAGTGTAATTTGATTAATTACAGGCTTAAAGAATATTGAATAACTGACGTCTCCTGGCAGTACTGTACTTTCTTTGTCAATCTTTTCCTCATGAGGTGGCTCATCTTAAACTATCTTGTCACGTGAAATAAGACATCCTAGCTTCATGTACTGGAGTTACAAGCTGTAATTGCGAAGGATGCTAGTTTGTTAGTATTCTTGTTTGTTTGTTTTTTAATGGTATTGCTTACATTCAGCAAACAGTAATGCCTGTGTTATTATATTTTCTGTGAACTTTTTACTTCTGAATGAGTTTACTTCTTCTGAATTTGTGACACACAATAATAAGAATATTATATTGTTTTCAGTGGAGCTTCATTAATGCTTATAATTAGGAGCTCCTTCCTTGGGTTGGAAGTCTCCATCTGTTCTGTACAGGCTTTGCATGATTGCAGCACAAAAGATGTAAGGGCAAAAGGATTGGGAAGTTGTTTTCTGCTGTGGCTATGTCAGAATACAAGAAAAAGGAGTTTGTCACGTGAGCCAGAACAGTTGCTTGGGTATAAAGAAGTTGGTTGCTCATGTAGGGTAAAAGTAGATGTTAAACTCCAGCCTTGTCAAACAAAGTAATTAGGTTGAATTTTTCTAGTAGTGCTTGATGCTACTTGTAGCTATATAATTGCATCTCCCATTTACTTTGTCCATAGGTTTGTATCCCAATATTAGTGTTTTGTTTTAACCAGACCGTGGTTAACATGAGTTAAAACCAGAATACTATTCAAAAAATGGCATTTTAAAATGCCATGATTATTTTAAAAATTGCTATCCCTTCCTGTGTTGCTGAACCATCATGTTTTAGTTTTCATTTAAATCACCTCTAATAAAGTTTCTTGGTAATAGAACAAGGAAATAGCAAAAATCTGTATTGGTTCTTCACGCTTCCTTTTCAAATGCAGATTTAAACATTAACAAAAGTTTCTGTTATTATCTGTCTCTGCTGTTGATAGTGTTGACTGGATGATAAGATAGTACTGACCTGTAGATTGTTGAAACACTTTTTTTCCTTTTATCATTGCTAGTTTCAATGCTACTTGCTGAAAGTTCGATACCGTGAGGTAAAACTTTGAGTAATGAGTTTATCAGTAAATTTTCTTGGGTACATCATTTTCAGAATCTTGGAATATTCTTTTTAGCAAAGATTATGACAATTCTGAAGTATCTGGTTAAATTGGCAAAGTACGTGGCCCTCCTATTCCGTTACAAAACTTCATATATTTAATAAAAGGCCATGTAGCTATTGATGGAATCCTATTAAGTAGAGAAAGCTGTAAGATATTTATGTTTAGTTCTATTAAGCTTCTCACTGCTCTTCTTTCTTGTCTGAATTCTTCTGCCAGCTGTAGAAATAAGCCACCAGTCTTATTTTTTATATTTACTTGTCTTATATTGAAAGATAGTTTTTTTTTTTTTTTTTTTTTAAGTAGAAGAGATTTAGTCTGTGTATAAATGGTCCCAGCTTCTAAGGATGAAGTTCAGCATGTCTTATACTTCATTTTTATTAGAAGTGCATGATGCTTGCAGTTGCACAGTCACAGAAGATGCGAATTTGTATTGATATTTGGCCCATAGAAAGTCAAATTCAAGCCCCTCAGAGCCTTTTTTTTTTTAAATAATTTCTGTTGGAAGGAAGGGGAATCTCATGGGGCAGGGCCCTAGAAGGAAGAGGGGTCCAAGAAAGCTGGTTAATATTCAAGCATCACTTCCTCCAGGCTCAAGATCAGTGCATCCCTCTGAGTAAGAAGTCGAGCAAAGCGGGCAGGAGACCTGCCTGGATGAGCAAGGAACTGCTGGCAAAACTCCAACAGAAGAAGGAAGTCTACAGAATGTGGAAAAGGGGACAGGCCACTTGGGAGGAACACAGGGACGTTGTCAGAGCGTGCAGGGATGCGACGAGGAAGGCTAAGGCCCAGTTGGAATTAAATCTGGCAAGGGATGTCAAGGACAACAAGAAGGGCTTCTTCAAATACATCAAGAGCAAAAGGAAGACTAGGGAAAACGTGGGCCCGCTGCTGAATGGGGCGGGTGCCCTGGTGACGAAGGATACAGAGAAGGCAGAGTTATTGAATGCTGCCTTTGCTTCCGTCTTCACTGCTAAGGCCAGTCCTGAGGAATTCCAGACCTTGGAGACAAGAGAGGAAGGCTGGAGAAAGGAAGATTCTCCCTTGGTTGAGGAGGATCAGGTTAGAGGTCTTTTGTCCAAACTTGACATCCATAAATTCATGGGCCCTGATGGGATGCACCCACGAGTGCTGAGGGAGCTGGCGGATGTTATTGCTAGGCCACTCTCCATCATCTTGGAAAGGTCATGGAGATCAGGAGAGGTGCCTGAGGACTGGAAGAAAGCCAATGTCACGCCAGTCTTCAAAAAGGGCAAGAAGGAGGAGCCAGGAAACT